ATGTAGACCAGGCTAGCCTTGAACTCACAGAGCTCTGCCTGCCTCTGCCTCCCGAGTGCTGGGATTAAAGGCATGCACCACCACGCCCGGCAAATAAAATATTTTTTAAAAAATAAAATAAAATAAAAAAGAAAGGGATCAATACAGTACCTTTATCAAGTCATACAGCTTTATTCATGGTTACCCCAAACTGGAAACAAACCAACAGCTCATCAGCAGGAGAGGGGATGAGCAGACTGTGGTATCACCTGACAATGGGAATAGCTAAACAATGAAAACAAAGGAGTTTGTGATTCATTAGCAATGCAGATGAATCTCAAAAACATTTGAGAGGGAAAATGCCAAGCACAAAGGATCACATCCTTTTGAATTTCATTTGTATGCTGTTTGAGATGGAGCAGAAGTGATTTATAGTGATAGAATTTAGAACAGTGATTGCCTCAAGCCAGGGAAGGGATTGGTTGGAAATGGTACAAGGGAATGTATGGGTCAGATGTTTCTGCATCTTCATCAGAGTGGTGTTTACACACACCGTACCTTTATCAAGTTGTGCAGCTTTCATTGAATCATATATGTACGAGCTCTGTATTTTATTGACTGTAAATGATACCTCATTTTAAAAAATCATTGTTTCTGTTATACCTGCACATGTATTAGAGCTAGACATCATCACATTTAGTATTTTTCTTTTTTCTGTATGTCTTTCCTAACACAGATTATTTCTTTTTTAAAAGATTTATTTATGTGTATAAATATTTGCCTTCATGTATGTTTGTGCATCACATGTGTATCTAGTACAGGCAAAGGCCAGAAGAGAGCATTGTATCCCCTGGAACTGGAGTTACTGCTGCCATGTGGGTGCTGGGAACCGAACCCAGGTCCTCTAAGAGCAGCCAGTGCTCTTAACCACTGAGCCATATTTCCAGCCCCATTAAAATCATTTCTTAAAGATACATTTTTCCTACAGGTAAATCTTGCACCTTTTTTGTTTCATTTTCTTCCCATGTCTGCTTGGTCCCCAGACCTTCTTAGTTACTGATAGAACAGTCCCACCAGGTATCTGTTCTGTCCTCCAGTCTTTCTGGGCTTCAGTTGTTCTAAGGCCTGTTTCTGTGACACTTGGGATTCTTTTTGGCCCCCTTCTGTTTTACTATTTTCATTAATCTGAGAGTTTACTAAATTCTCTTTTGTATTTCAGAAGGAAAAAAAATGTGTTTGTGTTGACATTTTACAATAAAATTTCATGAGCAGAGATTATTTCCAAGAGGCCTAAAACATCTCCAATTCCTTTCTTCCACAGCTGGGGCAGGAAGAACGATATGAATTGCTCAATGTCCTGGAGTTCACCAGGTAAACACACCTGCTCTGTAATTTGTGTGGATAAGATAAATTTTCATCCTTAAAAAAAAAAGAAGTCCATTATAAAATAGCTAGAATATATACTTTGCTTTATTTAAGTACAATTTTAAGATCTTCAGTGCATTTTTAATTACATATCTGTAGATAAGTCATACACGGCTTTCTTCAGATGTCACACTGCATGACTTCTGCTCCCAGTTCAAAAATCTTTTTGAAATACAACTCTTTGGATAACAAATATAGGATAGGACCAAGGGTCTCATGTCTAGAGTGTTAGCTATGGTATAACAAATACCTGAAATAGTCACCTTCTAAAGAGAAGTTTATTTTGCTCACTTTGGAGGTTCTACTCCATGATCAACCAACTTAGTTACTTTGGACCCGTAGTGAGGCAATACATGAGGCAGAAGCATGGAAAAGAACAAGCCTGGTCGGTCACCTCATGGCCAGGTGGCCCTACTAACAGGGTCTCATAAGAAGACCTCAGCACTCAAGAGGCAGAGGCAGGTGAATCTCTGTGAGATTGAGGCCAGGCTGGTCCGCATAGCAAGTTCCAGGCCAGATGGGGCTACAGGGAGACCCTGTTTCAAAAAAAACAGAGCAAAGAAGGGAAGCAAAGAAGGAACAAACACAAGAACAAAGAGGGAACAGTCTCACAGTCCTGTTCACATTGCACCCACAGTGACCTGCAGGCCTCCCCAAGGCTCCACCTTTCACAGGTTCTACCATCTTGTAGTAGCACCTCTCTGAGACCCAGCCTCCAGCACATGGACCTTTGGAGAAGATTTAAGTCCCAAACTATAGCAGCTGGTAACCTAGAAAGATGGTTCACTGAGAGGTAGCAAGATTCATGTGGAATGAAATTAGTAAGACTCAGAAAGCTGCTGTTTTGTGTGTGTTCATTATGCCTGCTTGTCTGAGGTTTCAAAAGCCACATCCATAGCCCTGTAAATCAGGAGTTACCATCTAGCAGAAATGACCAAAAAGCCAAGTGATTGTCCTGCCTACTTTATTTCTTAAAGAGAAATAATATCAGCTGTGGTAGTTTCCTCCTCACTATGACAAGATAGATCCCTGACAGAAGCAACATAAAGAGAGATTTATTTTGGCTGACGTTTTAAAGAGATGGAATCCATCATGACAGGGAAAGCAACGTGCCTGGGACTTCATGTCTGGCAGCAGGAGCTTGTAAAATGTCTGTTATATATGGATGAATTAAGAAGCAGGAGAACTCAGAGCCAGAAGAAGGCCAAGCTATAATCCTGAAGGCCTTTTCCCCATTGATCCCTTCATCCAAGTAGGCCCCATCTCCTAAAGTTCTCACCACTTCTTAAAACAGTACCACTAACTGGAGACCAAATGCAATATCGATTATGTTATCAGAAGGCTGAATGTGGTGGCATATACCCATAATGCTAGCAAAAGGATCACAAGTTCAAGGCTTCCCTGGGCTATGGAATAAGTTTAAGGCCACAACTTAATAACCTGTCTTGAATATGAAATGGACTGCAAATGTATGTCAGTGGTGAGTGTTTGACTAGCATGAGCAAGTACTGCGAAAGGTGGAGGGGATTTGATAAAAGAAAGGCTTTGTTCTTAAAGACATAGAGGGCAAAGAAAAAAGTAATAAATAGCCCAGAGCCAAGAGAAATTTGAAGAGAGTGGCCTTCTCTATCAGAGACCACTGCATGGTTAGGTGATGGGAAGGTTGAAAAGTACCTGTTGAAGGCCGGGCGTGGTGGTGCACACCTTTAATCCCTGGACTCACGCTCAGGAGTCAGAGGCAGGTGGATCTCTGTGAGTTTGAGGCCAGCCTGGTCTACATAGTGAGTTCCAGGACAGCTGCGGCTACAGGGAGACCCTGTCTCCAGAAGACAAAAAAAAAAAAAAAAAAAAAAAAAGTACCTGTTAAATATAGCTATTCATTAGAATGGTGAAGAGGGAAGGAAGGGATAAACTAGAGCTTGTTCATGGACAAGCAGAATCCTTTATAGAAAGAAAAGGGGCAGTTCACCAGAGAACAGCTTGATTTTGTAGTGATACTACTGAGAAAGTGGAACAAGAGAGATTCACAGACACATGCAAGGAAGGCCTCTGATAAAAGCAGAAGTATTTTCCCCCTGTCAAGAAGATGGAGGAGAGGGTGCACACATAACCAGATATGTAGGCTTTTGAAATGAGGGAGGAGCCAGGTGTGGGGGCGCATACCTTTAATTCCAACACTTAGGAGGCAGAAGCAAGTGGATCTCTGTGTGATCCAGGCCAGCTGCGGCTACAGAGAAACCCTGTCTTAAAAAAAAATAAAATAAAAGCAGCAACAACAAAAAAGGAGAGATTCAAGATGTCAAGGTAAATTCCAGAAACTCAGAATCTAAAGGCCGAAGGGAGCATGGAGGGCTTGGAGAATGAAGATGTGTGCTAAGGTCTTGCAGAGGAAAGGAGCCAGCCCCTTGGAGAATGGAGTGTGCACGTAGGCAGTGTAGAGACCTCAGCTCTGGATAGCACATATTTATTCATCTCCATGACTGGGTGACTTTTCCCCACAACGGCCACTTTACTCTGCTGTAGCTCAAAAGAAGGATTTCTAGTCATATTTGGAGGTTTTGCCTGGAGAATTAAATTGATGAGTTTGGAACCATTAATTGGAAACTGGATTGAGAATGATGTGAATCAAGAAAGGTGGAGTTAGCATGTACAGGGGAGCCCAGATCTTCTCTATTCCTAAAGCATGGTCCCACTATATCTGAAGTTTCACTTTCCCATGGTCATTCACACTTTTTTGGGGGAGGGGGTCTTTTTGAGACAGGGTCTCCCTATAGTCCCAGCTGGCCTGGAACTCACTATGTAGACCAGGCTAGCTCGAACTCACAGAGCTCCGCCTGCCTCTGCCTCCCAAGTGCTGAGATTAAAGGCAAGCAGCACCATGCCCAGCACACTTTTAAAATATAAAATGGAAAATTCTAGAAACAAACAATTCCTGTTTTAAATCTTTTACTAAAGCATATTGTTAAATTATTCTTTATTAATCATTGTTGTTAATTCTTATTATGTCTAATTAATTAAGCATTGTCATAGGTATATATGTATAAGAAAACTATATTATTAGGTTGATGCTATCCCCAGTCTCAGGCATCTATTGGAGGTCTTGGACTATATCCCTAGTAAAGGGACTGCCATTATCATTACAAACAATGAGGGATGCTTATATTGTTTCTTAAAGTGGTAGTATTTGCCTTTATGTGTGGTTATGCACTTAA